TAATGGGTCAACTCTAGTGGAAATGGAGGCCAAATTCCTGGGGTCAAATGCCAGAATTTGTGCCTTCACTGGCCGACACAAAGGGCTCTGTTTCTTTTATTCTTCAAGGAATAAAAGGCTGGTCGTGGCGGTGGCATTTGTGTGCTGATCTCTGTGAGGCTGCCAAGAGCCCTGTGCCCCTCCTTGTTTCCCAAGTGGTTGTGTGATGCTGTGTCCCTCCAGACAGAGGGTTGCAGTCGTCTCCCACCTTTCCAGAAGCAGCAAAGCCAGCTCCCAGCATGGCTGGCAGAGATCAGGGGGTTCAGGAACTACTCGCTGCTCTCCCAGACCTATGCAACTTGCAGGAACTTCTCATGGCTCATGCATTGAAGTTCTGCAGGATGGGAGAGAGCTGAGAAAGTGCAGCTAAAACGCATTTTAGGTGTAAATCTGATGTAAGAGAATCAAATATATAAAGTGCCTCTGAGATGAATTGCCAGGTAGAGCTGCTGACAAGGGAGAGGGCCTCGTTATAACGCTCGTTCCTCTTCCCTGCTGTTTGGGAAGAGGTGTGGGACACATGGCTTGTCCCTTCTTCCTGGCTGCCCCTGGGGCTGTGGCTGGCCACCAGCCACCCCTGCCCTGCAGCTTGCCCTGCCCCTGTGGTGGGGAGAGCTGAGTGATGGCAGGATTTAAAAAGTCCGCTCTTTCAGCAGGCAACATCTCCTGGGAGCCAAGGCAGCTGCAAGCCTCACCCGATGCATTTGAACATCTCCACCCAGGACTGCACCAAAACTGGACTGCTTTTGTTCTGTCCTTCGTACTTTGAACAGCAAAAGCAGAAGCCGAGCCTGCATCTCCTCTGCCAATGGCTCTGCAACCATCTCTTTTGTTTTGTGTCTTTCAATTTTGGCTGCCGGGGCAGTGTGGCGACGTGCCACGTAGTTAGGAACGTGGGCTAGCGTGGCGGTCCCGGCTGCTCTCCTGCACCACGACGGCCCTCCTGAGTCCTCCCTGCGGCCACCACTGGCTCTAGACTTAGGTTTGACCATGTTCATTGCGTTTTGTGGCCTTTGCCCGTGATTAATTGCAATGCCATAAGCATCTCGTACATCTGCTGTTCACGGGATGACTTTGATGTGTGGTGGCAATGGCTGATCACTTGGTTGATGTTTTATAATCACATTGTGTGTGTGTATTCTAGATGAAGTTCTCTTCTGGCTGGCAGGGCCTATTGTGGGGGACGGAGAAAAACTGCAGGGAGAGAGGAAGGGAAAGGCATCTTAAAACACAGATGTGACTCATTCTGTAGATATTCAGATTAGAGTTTGCTGATTTCCAGAAAAATAACTCCCAAAGAGCTTTTTTTTTCCCCTGAAAGACCTTCTTCAGAAATGATGGAAGGGGGAAAAATATTTTAAGACTTTCTGTGGATGCTAAATGTAGCCAGCAGAGAACTTCATTGTACTGCACTGTTTTGTTTTGTTTGTAGCTGCAAGTCATCAAAGTGACCTTACCTTGGGTTGTGTGTTTTGTTTTGATCGATGAGTTGCCATCTGTCCACCTAATTCAGAAGTCCAAACTGCATAATATCTTGATTGAAATTTCTAGCTAAATTATTAAAACCCCACAGACCAAAAGAACCTTCCCTTTTACACAGAAGCAGATTGTGGAGTTGCCGAGTGTGATTTTTCTAGTGCAGTAAACTATGGTGTGTGATGTGCGCTTGCGTATGCATTGGGCTGGGATGTATTTCTGGAAACAAGAGTACCAGAGTACTTATTGTCTTCCTAGCTAATGGTGCTTTTTATTCAAAGTAGCATCGAAGAGCTGGAATTTTTCCTTGCAGAGAAAAAAAAAAAAAAGTAGTGCAGGATGTCGTGGATTCGCTGTCTCTCTGGAGCACACCGTGGGAGCTGCGATGGAGGAGCTGCGTACATGAAAGCAAAGTCGACGTGTGGAGTTTCTTGGGAATGAGTTGGGAGCGTGCGCTTGGCCCGATGGCCCCGCACGTGTCCAGTCCCCGTCCCCTGCGTGGGGTGTGCTGGCTCCGAGGAGCAGTTGGGTGGCAGCAAGGGACCTCGGGGGATGACCTGTGGAGCTGCTCAGGCTGGATTGCTTGGAGGCCCTCAGACAGTTCTTCTGGTCATTTTGCAGGTGCAGGCTATGTGCAGGGACAGTGCAGGCCCTCCCTCTGCTCCTGCTGGGGGTGTTTCTAGTGACTCCTGAGCGTGAGGGTTGTGCATTTGGTTTTTTGTTGCATTTGTGGCGTGATTTTAACTTTATCAAGCCCTGAAGTAGCAGGAAGCCTGGTAGTGGGACCCCATGTGTAGGGAGAAGTGACGTGCAGCCAGAGAATCCGTCACCAGTCTGGGATGCAGGCTGTTGGTGGAGCTGCTGATTTACGAGGGGGTAGAGCAAGAGGCGTGCGTGGGCTCTGCTTGTCTCGCCCCCAGTAGTTGCATAGGCCAATGCTGAGGGGTGCCTCTGCAGAGTCATTCCCCCAACGCTGGCAGGCCAAGAGAGCAGTATTGCACCTCTTCATTATTTAAAACAAAATGAAACAAACCCCCAGTGACCAAGCATGAGGAACCTCTGGGTTGGGACTAGGCCCATCTCCTCAGAAGAGGCGACTGCTGCTTGATGCGAGTATGGGACATTAAGTCCCCTTGATCCGAACTGGTGCATTAGCTCTAGCTCTGATTCAGTCGTGCTGGCCTCAGTTTAGATCAAAGCTAAACCAAAAGTGATTCAGTGAACTTCCGCTACCTCATCGTATTCTTGTTAGTCACAGGGTGATACTGGATATGGTGCATTCATTTATGGACTGAAGACTGTGAGGTCCCTCTCTCTGCACTACGCCAGGGATGGCTCTGACCTCTGGAGATGGTCTTGCACTTAATCAGCCAAAGGTTGAGGTGCTGTTCTCCACCATCCATCCTCCCCAGTGCTGTTTCTCTGAGGGTGGCCTCATTATAGCTAAGGCCCCTGATTTTGGAGGCAGTGTTGCTGGGGGGGGGGAGGAGAACACTCATTCTCTCATCATGCAAATTGCCTCAAGAAAAACCAAAGTGCATATGTGAGTGGGAAAATGAGAGAAAACTTGGTTCAGATGAGCACTTGTTAGCAAGAAGCCTTTCTCCTGCCTGAAGAGCAGGTTAAACCATCCAGTACTGGTTCTAAAGCAAATGGGAACAGCCCCATAACTGCTGGAGAGGAGGGACCAGCCCCAGGTGGACCCCAGTACATTGTAGATGGTGGCGGAGACCTAGGGCAGACACTTGGGTGGAACGAGGGCGGCCAGTGACCCATGTAGCATGTGTCCAGTCCCTGACTGCCAGTCCCCGTGAAGCAGCAGAGTGCAGGAGCCCACTGCTGAGCAGTATGTTGAATCTGCTGGGGTTTCCAGCCCCAGAGATCAGATGGATGAGTGGGCACTGAGCTCAGCTTTAAAGAGCAGTTTAGGCCTGTGTCTTGTGAAAGCCTGTGGGAGGCTTTTAAAAGTGGTCGTGTTTGAAAATGTGCTGTCACACACATCCACACAAAAATCCCCAAAATATTTGAATCTGCATAAGCCCTCTGCAGAGTTTTACCTTGTTTTTTTTTTTGTTTGCCAAAATGAGTTGGGTTTGGGTGTAGGGTGGAACGAGCTCTGCAGAGGATGGCTTCATGCTGTTGCCTTACATGATTCAGCAAGCAGCTGGCCAAAGGGACCTTTTCCACAGCATGCACTTTTTGATGCATGTGGCTCTGATCTTTCAGTGGTCACATGCTGTTTGTTGGTGACAGTCTGCAAGCCCCTGTTTCTTAAACAAGCCCTAAATCTGTCAAGCCTCTGCACAGTGGAGCCCTTTGCCGCTGAGGACTGGGCAGGCAGATGCCCTTGGCACTCTGCAGTTGACGTGTAATTGTCCATTTTTGTCTGGCCCATGGTAGTTTGTGTGGATGGACCTAAACCTTTAGGTTTGTGCAGTTTTTGCTCTTGTTTGAGGCCTGACTTCTTGTGGGACCTTCAGAAAATATAGCCCTTTCATTTCTCTGCCTTTTTATTTTCTTTCATCCTCATTAGTAGTTTTTAGAAAATTGGTGGGCGATCCTGAATTAATCATCTCTGGGATCTTTCAGTCTGTGGACTTCAGTTGACTGTGGTGTTGTTAAATTCCTCTCAGCACACAGCTACCTCGGGGCAGGGGCAAACCAGCTGGTGAAAAGCAACGCTTTAGGACCTGCATCGAAAGGGCAGAGGAGTGCCGGGGGCCAGCTGGCCACAGAGCCTGGATGTAAAAGCTCATGGGCACACGGGCATCGCTGCCGGGCCGGGGGCTGCTGGCATGGTCATGACTGAGGAGTGTTACTGAGGGGAAAAAAAACAGAATTAGTATCTCGTGTTTTGCAACAAACACCCTGTAGCATTGCCCTAAACATCCAGTGTTATGGAAACATAGGCTTAAATGTGTAGTAACTGATAACAGCTGGCAAGCTGGAAAGGCCCGTGGCTGTGCCCGGGAACAGTGGTCATCCCTGGTGGGACGCTACCCTGATGGGATGAACCGTGCTGAGAGGTGCCTCACGGGGGCTGCGGGTCCTCAGGAGCCTTCACCAGGGTTTGGGGCCGGGGAGGGGAGCGTGGACCTGGAGGATACAGGAGGCTGGTGGGGCAGGCAGGGCATGTGGGGGCCAGGGAGATACGGCGAGGCAGCCAGGCGGGGGCTGTGTTGCAGCTGTCCAGGGAGGTTGTTTTGGGAACCAGCAGCCTCAATATTGGGAGACAGAAGACACAGACCAGGGCGTGTGTCTGTTCTTGCAGTCCATGCTTCACCTTGCACTACTTCCACCCTTGGGGTCTAGGAGTGTTTTGCTTTTCATTCCCTCCACCCCGAGCAGCACCCCTCACTCGAGGGCAGCACTGCTGGGCAGCACCGTTTCTGTGGCTGATGCACATGAATCTGGGGGTAAGGAGGGGGACGTGCAGGCTGGAGGGAGGCCAGCCCCTCGCTCACTCTCTCCCTTTGCCTCCACAGACTCACGCCTCACTATGTTTACCCCCAAGCTATCATCCAGCCCAGCGTGGTGATCCCTACCCCTGTGCAGTCCATCACGTCTCCCTACATCGACTACACCGCCGCCAGCCAAGCCTATTCCCAGTACACCACAGCTGCCTACGATCAGTACCCCTACGCTGCCTCCCCCGCTGCCGGGTTTGTGGGATACGGCTACACGGGCGCAGTCCAGCCTCCCATCACCGCCAGCAACCCCGCGGCGCCCGCCACTGCCTTCGTGCAGTACCAGCCCCAGCAGCTGCAGCCTGACCGCATGCAGTAAGGGCCCTGCCCGCGCCTTCACCACCCGGGACAATCTTATACAATGGAAGGAGACAACTAGGACAACAAAAGCAACAATAAAAGAAACAAAACAAAAATATCACCCCGCCCCTTTACCCCTTTACGTAGGTGCATATCAATACCTAAGCTATTTATAGTGTTAAGGGCGAACCCAAACCCTTGCAGTCTGACTGTGCTTATGAAAATGGACTTCTGGTAAGTTTTTGTTGGTTGTTTTTTTCAATCTGGACAGATACTGTCTTGAAGATGTTCGAAAAGTGACTGAAATGTTTCACAGGAAAACTACAGATTCTTGCACACATCGTGGTCTGCTTCCATCACCCATGGTCTTCTTTCTGCCCCTACCCCATCTGCCCCGTCAGCCCTTCCCCATCAAACCTGCAATCCTTTTATTTACTGTTGAGGTACAGAGGTACTCGGAGAACATGGAAAAAAGCAATCTTATTTTTTGGTTGTACAAAAACTTTGTAATACTCAGAGATGCCTTACAGAAAAAAAAAAAAGAAAAAGAAAAACTATTTTTTAATATTTATTGCGATTTTATTCGCATGAGCTGTGAATTGCAGACGGAAGAATAGTAGTAAGTATCTGCCTTGTTTAATTCTCATTTTACTAAATTATTGTATGTAGGTAAAAGTTCTTAAGTAATTGCTGAATCACTTCAACATGCAAAAGGGAATATTGGCTTGAAGGAGAGCAGAATATTCCTTTAGTCAACGCACTGTACTATTTTCTTATTGTAATTGTTACTCTGTTAAGATTATCTCAAATTTAGGTATATTTTTAAATGCAAAAAACCAACCAAGAATACCGAACATTTTGTCTACTTTGGTAGATCTTTTGTTACAATGCTGCAACCTATGGAGACATTTACAGTATTTATGTAAAAGACATTTGAGGCTGTTGGCCAGCAAAGCTTAGGAGAATATCATGAGCGGAGCAAAAGAGAAAAAGGTGTTATGTCACTGAACAAATGGGTAAACGTAACCTTTTAACGCCTACAATCCAACAGCCAAATAAAGGAAGAGAACAGACAATGTAAGTTAAGTGCATTTCTACAAAGAACAGCAATAAACTATTTTAACTTTTAAAATTATTTGATACTGTACGGTACCATGTTTGCTTGGCTGAAGCCCACGAGGGAGTCCTTTCCAACTGCCTTCGCCCGTGTGTGTGCCAGGGTGGGTTGGGAGCGTGTGTCCTGCGCTGCAGCGGAGCCTGGCCCAGCCCTGCATCCCACGGGCATTGCAGGGGTGCCGCCATCCCCCGCAGCACGTCCCGTGCGCCGTTACTTGCTCTGCATGTCTCGAGTCACCTTGGGGTTTTGTTGCTCCTGGAGCATCGTGCCGGAGCCGCGCGCTCCCCAGCGCTCACAGCCAGCACCGGGCATGGCCCAGCTCAGCCTATGCGGAGCAGAGGGTGGGAAGTGCCGCCATCCTGGTGCAGCTCTAGTGGAAACCAGGACAGCTGAGATCAGATCTCGTCCCAGAATCCTCAGGATATCACTTTCCTTCTGTCATTTGCTTAGAATAAGATTTTTTTTCAAAATCGAATCCATCCAGAAGTCATCGGTTTGCCAAAGCCTTGTCCTGGTTGAGGGCAGGGTCACTGAGGGCCTCACTGATTTAGCAGGGCTTGGGCAGGCTGCAGGTGGGGGGGGAGCCTCTGGTAGGGTGCTTGCACCCCTCAGCCTCCTTTTTGCTAGTGAGAGAGCTGCTTTAGAAAACCAACTTGCTGGAGAAATTTGGGGTTCAGATTTTGACAGTTACAAACTTCAAGTCTTAGTTTTTGAAAGTAAATAACATTGTTCTATTTGATCATGCCACTTACCTAGTTCATCTCTGTAATGGTTATGGCAGAACTGGTGCTGGGAAGTCTCTGCATCTTTGGCACCAGTGTATATTGCTGTTGAAGGTGATGATGCCTAAAGCCACCCTGGGGGAAGAGGATGCCATAGGATAAAAGCAGAGGCAGTTTAGCACTGTGATCGACTGCCCTGGTAAACTTAAAGGCACACAGTGGGCATGTCTAACATCATCGGTAGGCCTCAGAGTAAACAGCCCATCTCGATGAATGGAAACAGCTCACTCCTCTGTTGTTCATATTGCGTGAGAATGCAGATCCTTATGGGGCTCTGTTCATCCTGCCCAGGGTTTTGCTTATAACCATATGGGTGACATTTATTTCCTTTTTAAGTAATTACTTTCTGGATACGGCTGTGGGGCTGCCAAAGCAGTAAGAGCTGAGCACCGCATCCAGCACGGCACTGGCAGGGAGTGCAGCCTGGTCCGAGAAACCTGCCTTTGAAGTGCTATCGGGGCTGGAGATTATTCAGCAGTTTTCTTTCTCCCTGTCATGAGTCTTTTTGAGGAGGAGGAGGGAGGGGAGGATTTCAGAGGTGGATGGGGGTGCTGGGAGCTGCTGGGGTGTGCTCAGCCCCAGCCCTGCGGCGTTGGGGTGCCCATCCCTGGGCAGAGCTGCCTGGCTCCGGCACTGCTGAACGTCAGATTTTGTCTTCACTGGGGACCTGCGTCTCCCCCAGTCAATAGGAAGAGCAAGGCCTCTGAAAATGAATTTGTTGTTGAAAAAAAATGTGTCCAGTGTTTTTTAAAGTGAAAGGAGTGATGATTTTCCATTTAGCTGACTCTAATTTCCCAAAAGGTGGCCAGAGCGGTGCAGGTGGTGCTGAGCAGCATGTCTCCTTCGCCCGGTGCCCAGCCTGCCGCTGCCCAGTGCTGCTCCTGGATCCTGCTCCGTTTTGCTCTGGGCTCATTTCAAGAAGCAACCACATCAAAACAACTGCCCAACCTGCTGCCTTCCTGTTTGCAAAAACCCAACTGTGAAACTGCGGCTGGACAGAATAATGAAATCCGCCGTCTGGCTTCCCGGGTGGAAGTGGGCTGCGATGGCAGGTGGTGCGGGAAGCCTGTGGCCCCCCAAAAAGGAGCCCAAGTGCTTCCCTGGCCCAGTGCTAGGCTGGGAAAGTGGGCAGCACTCGATGGGTTGCTGTGTTCAAGGGACAAAAGTTAAATGCAGTGAGTGAGCAGTGGGGTGTGAATGAGGGCCAGTGGCCGTGCAGCTCCCAACTGGTCAGGGTAGCACAGGACAAGTGTTTAAATCACTTTGCAATTACTTAAAAGTGTAATTTTTTTTTTTCATGCATTGCTTGACGGAGCATCTTCTTTCACCTGCACCATGTGCCTTATGTTACCCACCGTGCAGTAAGCTCTCCCCAGGCATTTCAGCTCTGCTCCAGGCAGACAGGGATGGGTGTGTTGGGGAGTCACAGTGCCCTTATAAGAGCTTCGGCGCAGCAGCATGCAGCCACAGGGATGCAGGGAGGAGCAGTGAGGGCTGAATGGTTTTGGCAGGGCAGCCCCAGCAGCACCATCTGCTTGGCACAGGTTCTGGGAGTGGGAGCAACCGTGGGGGACCAGACCTTGTCCCGGGCACATCCCCATGGCCATGCTGCTGGCTGATGTGGTCCAGGCCACCTCCCAGCAGCTGTGCCCACATGTTCAGTCATTTGCATCACAAATTCAAATATTTTTCATAGGAAATCATCACACTGAGGCTGTCAGGGTGAGCTTTGTCTTGTGTGGGCTGGAGCACGTGCAGCTCCTCTGCTGTCATGGGGAAGTGTCACCATAAATACCCTCCCCACCTGCCCGCCACAGGAAGGGGATGGCTTGGGGGAGTTTTCTGCCCTTTCCAGGGACTATCTCATCCCGGGGTGTCCCACGTCACAGAGGCACCGTCGAGGGCTCTGCTGCCAGCAGCCACCCAAACCCACTCATGATAAGGGGCAGGGGGGCACCGATCCCGTGTCTGTGCAGCGCTCACCCCTGCTGCCCCACATTATCTGGCTGAGGCACTTGGGGAGCCCCATGGGCCTCCATCGAGGTCCAGGGCTTTGCAGTGGCACCCAAAGCTGGTGTCCATCCCTGGGAGGGAGGGTTGGGGGCACCTGGGAGCACAGGAGGCACTGCCAGCCCCCGCAGCCCAGCTCCTGGCAAACGAGCCCCAGCGCCAAAACTTTACGGCTGAGAGGGAAAGGCCGAGTGCAGGATTTATTTGCTTAGTAACTGGGCTGCTGTTGGCACTTAGCCTTTAAAATAAAGTTCACAGCAAAATGTTTTTACCCCCTCACATACAGGGAATGCTAACAGCATCCTTTTTTTTTTTTTCCTCTTCTGGCTGAAACTTGTTTTTCCCTCCTTTGTGCCTCTCTGAATCCTGCCAGCGTAGAGATTCCCTTGTTCAGAGAGAAAAAAAGAAAGAGAAAAAAAGAAAAAAAGGAAAAAAGAAAAAGAAAAACTTAAGCCTGGGATTAAAAACCATCACTAAAATAGTTTGAATAACAAAGTCAACTGACTCTCCGGGAGCCCGGTGAATGCCTGTCACGTATCGCCCTTCGGCCAGGGGCACGGTCATGTGTTTCACTAGATAGTTCCTGGAAAAGCTTCTGCTCAGCCCGATAGACCTGCGGCTGCTGATACCGCTGCACCCATTCTGCACCGGCCCTGCTCTCCCAGAGGGCTGTGGAAAACTTCCTGAATTTATAGGGGTGAGGGGGATAAATAAATCTCTTTTGGGTACCAGAGACATCAGGTCTTCTTGTGACCTGAGTAACAACCAGCTGTAAGTGGTGATAAGGACTTCTCCAGCCTCAGTGGTCCCAGCACCCTGGGGCAGCAGCCTCCTCCACTCTTATCGATTGCCTTTAGCAGTGGGATTTATGTTTTTTTTTTTTTTCCCCCAACTAATTTTTGCATAGCTTTAGCTACATAAATAAAGAATAAAGTGCAACCTTGCATGAGATAAAGGCAGAGGGTTTGAAAATCCCTCCCTGGGCAGAGCCACCTTGCCATGGCAGACACATCATGTGGGCCCACACAACCAGAAATGTGTTACTGGGGGATTTGTACCTAAAACCAAAGCCAAATAACTGCAGTTTTGTCCTTTTGCTGACACCAGCAGCACAAACCTGGGAGCACAGAAGTGTGACGAGGCAGAGCGAGCAAGACAATGGCTCAGATAAGGCCACACTGTGTGGGAGGGCAATTAAAGGCTCAGATTTATTAGCAGTGTGCCAGTGCTTGGAAGGCTGATGGTGGTGATGGAGAGGTTGGAGATGGAGGTGGTGGTGATGGAAAGGTCAGAGATGGAGACATCAGAGATGGAGAAGCCAGAGATTGTTGTTCTGAAAGTGCTGCAGTGTTTTAGGGTGAAACTGGGCAATAAAGGCACAGCACATCCGTGGTGTACCAGACTGTGGTGGGTAGAGGCTATGCCCAGCCTCAGCTGCTAAGTTCAGAGTGAGGTGGGGCAAGGGCAGTGCCACCACGGCACGGGTGGCTCAGGGTGGTGCTGCCCATGAGCACAGGATGTATGTGCCTTTCTCTAGAGATCCCTACAAATGTATAAGTAAATTTATTTATTTGTATATATATTTAAATGTATATATAATTTGAACATATATACAGATATGTTTAAACACACATATATAGTTTATTTATAGAAATACACTTAAGTATTTTCCCCTTCTCCCTGTGGGCACCCTTGAGCTGCAGCACCCCTGGGCTTGCTGCATGCACGTGCCACGAGGTGCCTGTTTACCGGAGGCGTGACGGTGCCCGTTATGCAGGTGATGGCCTGCCCTATCCCCTGGCTGGCTCCTGGAGCTGCCTGCTGGGTGTCAGGCACCAGTGGGGGGGCTGCACCACCATCACACAGTCCGTCTGCCAAACTAGTGTGAAGCAGAGCGGAGAGACAAGCAGTATTAAAAATTGCACCAGGACACCATTAGTATTATTGGCCCCTTACTAAAGGATGGTTTGCATATTCTTTGAAGAGCAACCATACCCATCTTTAAGCATAAATGAGATAAAGAAGTGTAAGGTGAGATAAACTAAAGGACTGACTTGAGAGAGGAGCTCAACTCCCACTTTGGGAAGCAGCTTGGGCGGCCTGATCATTACGTCTGATTGAATCGATGAGCCCCTAGATTGGGGTGATATTTTAGAGCTGATTTTTAGAAGCATTTACCATTTACATAAAGCTGGAAGCCATGGCCTTTGTAAATCAGCCAGGAAC